TCAAATGTATTCAGCTAGCCACGCGGCACCAGTGTGTTGGCTCATGCAGATGCGCCGTGTTTGATGGTTTCGATGCTCGACAAGCAGCATTGCATCATCTTGCCAGCCACCCACCTTGTCAGCCAGTAGGCGCACGCGGCCTGGGGGCTGTTGTGGTGCGTTGTCGCGGCAGGCAGGAATTGGGATTTTGGGATACTTGGCGCTGCAGGAGAAAGTAGAAGGCGCACAAGGAGAAAGTGGGAGTCGGCAAATTTGTGCCCTACAAAGCGACCAAAACAACCTAAACCAAAACTTTGCGGGTTATGAACATGTGCACAGGTGTGTGGATCTGCACAAACGTTGCAATGGCATTTCATTCTGTGCATTCGATGGCCCCAGCTGAGGCCGCACCTCACGCGAGCGCAGGTCCTCCGCCCCGCCCCCGCCCCAGCCGCGCCCAGACCCGCCAGCGCCGCCGCCCGCCAGGCCTCTTTTTGGGGTCAAACGTGCCGTGCCGCCCGCCGCCTGGCGGCCGCCCCCGCGCTCAAGCGCTCATGCGCCCAGCGGTGGCGCGAGCGGCCCCGGCGGCCGCGTCATCAGCACCGCGTCGGATTCGTCAGCATAGTACCGCCGCCGCCGCCCGGCCTCGACGAACCCCAGCCGCGTGTACAGCGCCAGCGCCGCCGCGTTGCCCGCGCGCACCTCCAGCGTCGCCGGCGCAGACGCGTCGCAGCTGCGCGCGTCGGGAGGGCGCGGGGCGCCTGCTGCGCGCGTGGCCCAATTCTTCGGCGCCCCCGTGCCCAGCCCGCCTCATCCCAAGCGCCCGTGCATGAGACACCCGCAGCATCATCCCCCAGCCCCGACCCCAGCCCGACCCTCCCATCAAGTGACCACCATAACCCCAGCCCACGCGCCCAGGGCAGCAAGCCGCGCCCACTCACCCGCAGTCCGCCATCAGGCGCGCGAGCAGCGCCGCGCCCAGCCCCTTGCGCCTGTGATCTGGGTGGACCGCCAGCTCGAGCACCTGAAGCTCTCCCGCCACCAGCCAGCCGACCACAAAGCCGGCCACCACCCCATCTGGCGGCGCCGCGGGCGAGGGTGGCGGCGGCGGCGCGGCGGCGCCGGGGGCGTGCGGGGCGGGCGGCGGCGCGGCGGTGGCGACGAGGCAGCGCGCAAAATCGCGGGTGACCTCGGCCTGCGGGGGCAGCACTTGGAATTGTGGCACATGGTTGCTGCAGGCGGTGCGTGCGGCGAAGGGCGGATGGGTGGCGCGGGTCAGCCCAGCCTGTGGTGTCGTCGTCGTTGCCACGCAACAGGGGAGGCGTCAGGCGTTCCCCCCTCTTTCCCCAAGGCACCTCGATATCGGCCGCGCTCCACTGCGCCGAATCGCCGCCGCACAGCTGCTCGATCTCTGCCAGGAACGGGACGTCTTCTGGAACGGCTGCGCGCACTGCTGCAGCTGCCGGCGCCGCAGCGCCCGCGCCAGCTGCCGCAGTGGTCCAACGGCGTCGACAACGTTGACAGGGATCGGGGCGCACGCGATGAGGGATATGCATTTCTGGTTTTTGATGCCTAGTAATGGTTTTGTCTGCAATCAGCAACCACCCTGCCGCGGGGTTCGCATGAAGTTGCCTGAATGCCATTGTGGAGGAACCAAGTGCACGGTCGTATTGTACAAAGTGGATGAAAATGTGGTGTGCGGTAAATGGTCAGCCAGCGTGGCTGTGCCCGCAGATCAGATCACACAAGCCAGCCACAACGAAGCAATCGGAGAGATGCTGAACATCTCGTGCAAGTACCATAGATTTTACATGGTATCCACCCCTGCAAGCCTATTCGTGGCAATGTACGGTGCGGCATGCTGCAGGGGCGACGGTGCATGCCCCTTCATTGACTGGCGTTGACCAGGCTGAATCGCTCCACACCCCATGCAGACCCCACCGCTGCGCAAGCGCTCACATGCAGCCGCCCTTACTGCCATATTATGCACGTCACACCACCCTCCTAGGCACGTGTAAGCACAGCCGTGCCCACAGCCGCAGACGGGTGGTTGCTCCACCGTCACAGTGCTTGCTTGCATGCAGCCCTGAGCTGCGTGCGCGGTGCACCTGCGAACGGCATGGCGTCGCCATGTCCACCCATTCAAGATACTTACACACTGCAGGGCCTTACTCGGGGCAAAGATGCGCATGAGCTTTCGCAGGCGCTGCACGATACAACAGTCAAGAACAATGCAAGCGTAAAGGGCCCCAGTCAGGCCGGCGTTGCTCCAAAAACGGTCAGCATGGTGGGAACCCAAAAAAGTGCGGGGACACTGCCCCAGATGTCGCGATCGAGCAGCGCGGCGCCTGGGTGGGGGCCGCACGCAGAGCCACAAACCATGGCGCCGCCGCGCGCGTCCGCCGCGCAGGGGCGCGGCCGCCGCGGCCGAGCGCCAGGCGTACGGCGCTCTGTCAAAGGCTTCCCAGCTGTGCGAGCGGCCACGCACGATGCAAGCCCTCGCGCCTTCAGGAATCTCTTTGGCCGCTGCCGTCCGGCGCTGGGACTATGTGATGGCATTGGTGAATAAAGGATCCCAAAAAAAGAGGGATGCAGGCAAAACTTCCAAGGTGAAAGATACGCTGCCATGCTCAGAAGGGCGAAAAGCGCAACGCACGCCGCTCAAGGCTGAGCGAGGAAGCCGTCTGCACGACATGCACAAACGGTGTCGCGCGGCATCGGCGCGCGCACTAGGCAGGGCAGCGCGCAGACGAGCACGCGCCCCCGCGCCGCGGCGCGAGGCAAGGCCACGGGCAGGGCGGGAACCCGCAGGCGGAGCGGCGCGCTGGGGCGCGCACGCACGAGCAACCTCGGACTCTTGCAACCGCGGCTAACATGACTGGGCCGGCAGGCGTCAATCCTGCCCCCACGGGTGGTCCCCTGAACTTGTGCTCGCCGCCGCCCCGTTCGCGGCTCGGATGTGGGGGGTCACCGCCGGAACAGCGACGCCTGCGCGGCCGGTGGGCACGGCAAGGGAAGGGGCGGGAGTTGTGGGGTGGGGGCTGTGGGGTGGGAGCTGGGGTTCCGCAAGCGCTAGTCTGGGAAAGCTCAATTGTGGGACAAAATGCTCAGCGGCCCTCGATCGGGCGAGCGCCCCGCGGCGCCAAGCAGTCGGACAGGCTCTTTCAGCGTGAAGCCGCTCCGAGGCGTGCGCCGCGCCGCGCTTGGGGCGGCGTTGCAGAGGGGGTGGTCACTCACGAATCGCGAGATCTTTGGCTTCTCCTTCTCCTTACTGTCGTCTGCGGCTTGCTGCTGCTGATTGTTCGCCGAGGGATCCTGCGGTGCCTGGCCCCCTCCCGCCGGCTGATGCGCGGACCGCAACCCAGGCGATGCAGTCTGCTGCGCAAACTGCCCGGGCGAGGCTGCCTGCTGGCCGTATCCACCCGCCGCTGGCTGCTGCTGCCCTTGCCCCTGCCCCTCCAGCCGCATCTGCTGAGCCGTGGCCGCCGCCGCCTGCAGCTGCTGCGCCAGCTGCTGCCGCGCCGCGGCCGCCTGGCCCAGCGGCGGCGGCGGCTGGGCCGCCGCGGGGGGCGGGGAAGACTGCTGCAGTGTCTGCGCTGCAGCTGTCGAGGTGGAGAGCCTGGTGGTGGGGTGGCAGGGAGGGTGCGGCCAGTGGTCGTTGTGTTGGTGGAAGGTGATGGTTGTGTTCTTTGCTGTTGGTGGCGAAGATGGTGGTGATGGTGGTGTCTGGGGTGGTGGATCAGGAGGGAGGGAGCGGGACGCCGCGACCAGCGCACGCATGCATTGGGAGGGAGTTCAGAGCCTCTATTTGGATGCAGCTCGCCACACCCCCGCCACCCAACACACTAAAAACGCACGCGCACATGAGCGTGACTGTGCACGCACAGGACGAGCGGCACAAACGCCACGTGCATGCGCCTGCACGACGCAAACATAAATACATGCACAAACGGGTGCAAACACACACACTGCGTGTGTCAGCAACCGCACCTCTGCCGCGACCGATCGTACCCTTCCAGCAGTTGCCGCGACCCGCCCGCCTCCAGCCC